AGTTTATTCTGATGTATGATAATGCCAGGCCCTACGTTGCGCGGGGTAACGAGTTAGGAGTACGAGTAGTTAACGAGTACCTGGATGAGGTTGGACTACGAAGATTGTAATGGCCTTCTTGTAGTCTCGACCTAAATCCAGTCGAACAATTGTGCGATTAACTTAAAAGAACTGTTTGTCGTCGTCCTATTCCACCACAAACTTTAAAAGAGCTATGGCTAGCATTAACGAAGAAATCTTCGTTAATGCTAGCCTAGAACAAGAAAAAGTAACTACTATAATTCATTCGATACGACGCGACGGCGACGAAGACCTCGAGCTGTTATTGCTGCGAAAGGTGGACATACACGCTATTAAAATTATTTAAAATTATTGTAATAATTCTATAACTTTGTAATAATATTTTAGATGCTTTTAGCATTTTGTGTATTTTTTAATTTTATTATTTGCCTTAATATAACATTTTTAATTTTTGCAATGTAATTTATTTGATCTGTAATGCATTGTTTATCCAAAGAAACCAATCTCAATAAATATTATTTGCTATTACCATATCCCTGTTAATGCTAGCCTAGAACAAGAAAGAGTAACTACTCTAATTCATTCGATACGATGCGACGGCGACGAAGACCTCGAGCTGTTATTGCTGCGAAAGGTAGACATACACGCTATTAAAATTTTTAAAATTATTGTTTTTGTCAATAAAAGTGTGTAGTACTTAAAAATGTGTAGCTCATAAAAAAATAGAGATAAAGGGATAATTCAAAAAATGAAATGTTGGGAATACATCTAATATTAGAAGAAAGTGTTTTTTATCCAAAAAACAACGTTTTGATTTACTCCTTATAAGCCCACCTAATCGAAGAATATAAGCCATTAAAATAATAAAAAATAATGCCAATAAATTTATCTCCACACTGATACCATAATCATAAAAATCTGATTACAAAATAAAAAGTTATGAAACATCAAACTTTGGTCAAATTTTGGGTTGGGTGGTGGAATTTTGTGACGGGTAGTATATTTTCAGGAGGTAAAATAGTAAAAATACTTTTTTTTTCAAACGTTACAAAAGTATTAATTTTTACGACGTGATTGACAATATAAAAAAGTCATTTTAACGCTTAGCCATAAAGGTAAAGCACTTTTACGCCTAAGCACAAAAGTACAAAAATATATTATTAAACTGATATAAAGCATCAAATTAAACGAGTGTAACCATAGTTTCTCGATATATTATTACTTACAAGGTATTACTTTTAAATCCTTTTATATCATTTGCAACGTTTGAAATTCTTTAAAAAATTATTTGTGACGTTCGAAAAAAATAGCATGTTCTATTCGGAGTAAAAAATACTTGTTGTGCCTCGCCTGTCTTATAATGTCAAGCGTACAGCCCTGCCATGAAAATTATCATTTCTACCCTAATAAACAATATACCCTCTATTGTTTTGTATTAAACCTACTATATTGATTGTACATCAATATTATAAATACTAAATTATGATTTAAATACATAAACAGTCAAAAAAGAAGACTACTGTTAAAAATACAGTTGCTATAGTCCTTTTGAAGCCGCCAAACCTTGACAAAGGATCTACTTTATTAACCCTATGAAGTGAAAGAATATAAAGGACATTTCACTGGGAAGACGTAGAGAACGGACAAAGATATACGTTATACGAAAAAAATATACTGATACTAGTGTCTTATTTTATTGCCTTTCGCACCATTCTGAGGCTATTTTTTACGATAAAATGAGATTCTTATTTCAGGCAAGTTCGACGGTGTCACATAAAAAGATAAATGCTTTACTAGTGGGATTTCTTTTTCTTAAAGAACGAAAAATGACACAAAAGCTTTCGCAGTAATTTGATGTTGAATAGAGTGGCTTTGACAGTTATTGTAATAATTCTATAACTTTGTAATAATATTTTAGATGCTTTTAGCATTTTGTGTATTTTTTAATTTTATTATTTGCCTTAATATAACATTTTTAATTTTTGCAATGTAATTTATTTGATCTGTAATGCATTGTTTATCCAAAGAAACCAATCTCGATAAATATTATTTGCTATTACCATATCCCTGTTAATACATAGTTAGACGCACGTTGTTAGTAAATAAGTAAACACTAACAACGTGTTTATAAACATAACTTTAATTAATGGCTGTATTTAATGCTTTTGATCTGTAATTATCTGCAGTGCATTTTGCTTGTTCAATTCTCGGGTATGTATCAATTTTGGAAACTCATTAAAATTTAATTAATAGTTAATTAATACATGACTATATTTAATCATAAAAGATTTTTACAAAATAAATGTTGTGTCACCAAAAAAAATCCTATAAGGGTATTTCGCCACTGCAAGAAAATCTACAAAATAAAATAGTTATTTTTTGTAAACACTTCTGCGTCCAAACGGAAAAAAACCCAAACGAAAACTAATTGCCTAACGAACAAAAAAATGCTTAACATTTCGGAAAGTTTATCTCTTTCCGTCGGCGTCGTCGGAAGCAAAAAAAAATACAAATAATAAAGAAAATACTATTTAAAATATTTAAATTCAACTGTTCGAGAACACTTTAGTTTTTTTAAAACAGATACGTCTGCAAAAACTGTTGACAAACACAAACACAGATAGATATTTAAATTTCGCATCTAATCACAGTATAAGTGTAAAAAAAGGTGTTATAAAAAGTTTATATGATTAGTAAAAATAATATGTTCAGACGACATTTCACTAAACAGAGATATAAACCACTTAAAAAATACATTAATAAAAAACGACTATCCACCATATTTTATTGACAAAACATTAAACGAAATACAAACCCCAAATCATAGACACAATGATAACAATACACAATATATACAACTTACAATTTCATACATACGAGGCGTTTCGGAAAAAATAAGAAGGATAGGAAAACAATATAACATACGAACATCTTTCAAAACACAAAATACACTTAGATCCATTTTATCACATACTAAACCAATGAATACAGAACAACAAACAAAAAATGTAATATACCAAATACCATGTGAATGCGATAAATTTTACATTGGTGAAACATCTAGACCCTTAAATGTTAGAATTAAAGAACATAAAGATTATTTCAGAAAGGGAGATTTTCACAAATCTAAGATTTGTCAAGATTCATGGGACACAGGGCACAGAATAAATTTTAATAACGCCAAAATTATAATGAAAGAAGCGATAGCCTCTAAAAGAAAAATAAAAGAGGCTTTTTTAATACAATCTAACGAAAATAAATGTATTGCTCATGCATCTGTAGATGTTAGTAATGTATGGCAATCGCTTCTTTGATTTTAAAGAACATAACATAAATAAACATATCATACGTAAAAATTAAAAATAATCATACAGAAAGTTTGGGACTTTTTGGTTTTATCTTATTAAGTAATTTTTATCAGGTAGTAATTGTTAAATTAAATTTAACTTGTTCTAATGTCATTTTAACAGAACGTCAACGGGTTTTGTAGACGTACTTGTTTTAAAAAACTAAAGTGTTCTCGAACAGTTGAATTTAAATATTTTAAATAGTTTTTTTCTTTATTCTTTGTATTTTTTTGCTTTCGACGACGGAAAGAGATAAACTTTCCGAAACGTTAAGCATTTTTTTGTTCGTTAGGCAAATTTGTATATCTGTAAACGTAACTTCTGACAAGTAGTTTCGGTTTGGGTTTTTTCCGTTTGGACGCAGAAGTGTTTACAAAAAGTAACTATTTTATTTTGTAGATTTTCTTGCAGTGGCGAAATACCCATATAGGATTTTTTGTAGAGATGAATCCGCCACATAGGTATAGACATTTTTTAAATGTTGTGTGCTGCGGCATGAATTATAAATATAAAGAAAATAATTAAACATATAAAAGAACTATTATAATCATACTATACCTAAAGTTACTTTTAAAAAACTGACTGTGACAAATTGTTAACGCTGTCAAATACTCATTAATTATACGGCGTATACGTGAGAAAATCCCATGCATAAAATCCAATTTCTGGCCTCAGCGCCTCATAAAACAGAATTAAACAACGAAAAAAAAATAGGCCACGCCTCAATGTTATTGACGCGGAAAATGAAAGAAAAAAGTAAACACTAAATATGACACTTTATACAGCAAAAATCGCAAGGGCAGTAATTAAAATGTTACAAGGGATATAGACGTTCTATTAATTGGGGATTAATGAGTACATATTACAAATTTAACAAGAATTTAATTAAAAAATTTAATAATTAATATTAATAACAATAATAAGTTGGAACAATCTTTTGTTAAATTTATTATTTTAGAATTATTGTATATTTGTAGGTACCCTTTGATTTTCTTATATATATATTATCTTAGTTATATCATCATCATCATCATCATTTTCAGCTTATTCAACCATTTCCAATTATGGTGTAGCCTCCATCACATATTTAGTATACTCTCTTTGTAGTTGGACCCATTGTTATCTATTGTTGGCTATGCGGGCCCAAGTTATCCCTGCCAATTTCCTAATATCATGGTCCCATCTCAGGTTCAGCCTTCTTCTAGGTCTCTTAATTCCTCGTGGGTACCATACTGTCATTTTTATGGCCCATCTGTTGTCCGTCCTTCTTGCCAGGCGTCCTGCCCATTACCACTTGAGGGATTTGACTCTGTGGATGACATCTATTACCTGGGTCTTTTGTCGTATCCACTCTATTCTTTTACGGTCTCTCTTGGTTATTCCCAGCATATTTCATTCCATTGAGCGTTGTGCGACCTGCAGTTTCCTTATAATGTCCATTTTAAGTATCCAGGTTTCGCATGCATTTGTCATCACTGGTAGTACACCAATGTTTTCTTCTTTGGATAAAGTGGCATTCAAACTTAGTTATATATTATCATTAATTCTGGTATACATATGTAGAGGGTTTTTTTATTAAAAGAATAGAATGCAAACTATATTTATACTAAAGCTACATTTCCTATTTTCTAGATACCTTCTGTGCAAGAAACAGAAGAGATCAAGATGCAACACGTGCACAGGTCAACACGGTACATCCATGTCGATGCTTTCCACCAAACGTCAATCTATTAACAGAAAATCAACTATATCCATCAATCGCAGAAATTTATCAGCAAATGCCCAGGAAACTTCAGTAACTCTACTAGGCAACGGCCATGGAGATCTTCAAGTTAACAATAAGGTGATATAATACAATTTTGTTTATTAGAATGGCTTTGAGCTCTCAAAAATGTTAACACTGTGATTTACTTACGTCTATATAGTTTAAAAATATGTTCCAAAGATTTATTTTAATCTCAATTGCAATAATTAATAAAATTCTTTAAACATATAAATTGATATATTTATAAAAAAAAGGCTGAATCATAGCCCTATATATTATGAGAAGAAATTAAAATATAATTATATCAATATTTATCAATTATTTTGACTGAATATGCATTTTTTATATTTTAAAAACACTAGGACCACTAATATTGTATGAAAAAAACGGCGTCAAGGACGGCATCATTTAATAAAAATTGACATAAAACTTGTCAAAATTAAGACTAACTATAGAATGATCGAAAAAGAATAGAATATTTCCAGGCAAAGAAATCTATTTCCAAAATATTATTTTTTTTCTCGAATATTAAATTAAAAATTAGTTTTACTCAATATAAAAATAAATTACAAACTTCTTAAAGCTAACTGGCAGTAAGCGCCATTAAAAATATAGAAAAACCAAACCAAGTAATGATGTCTAGGGCTTGATCTCGAAAAAAATTTCATCGATTGGCCCTAGTCGTCTCTGACACCGTTTTTTTTCGATCATATGGTATTAAGCAAATCAAAAGTTATATACATCAAACGATTTTTATTGCACTTACAAGAACAGTATTATATCACTAAAATCAAATTATATGACTTAAAACATGTTCTAGAAAAATTTGTAAATATGTAAATATATTAGTATATAAAATTGAAAAATACAGCTTATAGATTTGTATAAGATAGAGTCTTAAAACTAATACAGGGAAAAATTACACTTACATTTGCTGTACAATTACAATTCTATCATGTTCAATAAATTATGTATGTTGTAGAATAATTTAGGACCTATTAAATATATTTTTGTACCAAAGCACTAAAGTAGTTTGTTCGTATTTTATTTAAATTTTTCCATCTTGTAATAATATATGCAATTTTTATAGTTTTTAATTTAAGAATCGGTAAATGAGCTATATTTATTTGTGTATAGCTTTTAAATTTAGACTAGGTCAAATAACTGTTTGTAATTAAAATAGCGGAGGACAAGTTAACATTGTCCGGTTTGTCCCAGTATAATTTGACAGTAAATTTAGACCATTAATTACAGGACAATACTGAGTCCTATAGGATGGATTTACGTTTCACCAGGGGTCAAATATTTCATTAAATGTCAACCAGCAAGTTCACATATTTTATATTTACTGTCTAATTTTAGTTAGAAAATAAACTGCGTTAACATTTACTTAAAACAGAGAAAATAAAAAATTTTACTTTAATATACCGGGTGTTTGACTACATCTTTTGATTTTTAAATGGCAATGGCAACCTTAGAAAATAATACTCTGAATACATATCATATGTCAACTTTTGACATTTTCGCCTTAAAAAATCGTATTTTAAATTTCAACATGGCTGTGTTAAAAACGCTAATTTTTAATCATGGAGTCTTGGAAAAATAGTAATAATTTAGTGAATGTCATAAATGATCGGTTTACTACACGTATGTCTATTATACAGGGTTTATACTTGCATTTTTGCTTTTATGTACTACTTGTGAAAGATTAGATGTCAAAGAATTTAGATACGTCAATTTGACTTACTGCTTCAGTAGCGTATCGGATGTTTGTGTTAATAAATAATTATTAAAACTTATCTATTTTTATTATAATAATATGTTTTTATTCACAACGTAAAATAAAAAAAAAATTGAGTCTACCCCACGTCTACCCTACATCATAGTTTTACATTTTTTAACTAAAATTAGAACGGCACTGATAAACCGGAATTTAAGTCGGCCATATTTGGGTCCCATCGCGGTGGACCTAAGATTTTTGATATGCTCCTTCCTTAGTCTTCTTATTCAAAGGGTCAGAACCATATCTCCCAAATATTTTGTTTTTTAACTCATGTCAACACATGCCATTAATTTTTAAGATCAAAACGAACTTGCCACAAACATTTTGCAATTTTTTCAATTATCGTTACTTTTTAATGTTATTACTGACTGCGTTAAAATTTGCAGTTATACAATATAATATTTAAACATAGCAAATATGTTAAAACACATCTTTCTGTTTTAACATATTGTAACAATTTTGAAATGTACGACCTGTGTCTTGCATAAGAAATTAAAAGTAATAGAAATAGTAGTGTAATTGTATACTTTTTTATTATGTAAAAAATATTTTGAAAATAATAATTTTATTATATTTTTTGACTATCCCAAAAAGGTTACTTTAGATAGGCCAAAGGTAATATTAAATTTCTACCTAAGCAATATTTGAAACAACTTGTATTTAAACTTACAAGACATAATTCACTTCTTAAACACCTTTTTGATGCATAATTCCTAGACCGTCTTTATTTTTCTTTACTGTATGTCGGTTTAAATAAATGAAAAATACATACTTCATGCCACAACAAGCGTTTACGTTTCGTCTAACGTTTTTTGTCTCTTGTCCTGGCCAGTAGGATATGCCCAAATCTTATTTTTATTCATATCTCAATTTTTTCAAATGGAACAAAGATGGCTTATTAGCATATTTGGATAAAGCATTTTTTTACGAATAATTTGGTACTACACACTTGGTATTTCGAGTCCTGTAACCGCATGTTACAATTTCAAATAAACCCTATGAGAAAATTTCAAAGGTTGACATATGATATGTCACACTATTCAGACTGTCATTTTGTATCGAATATAGTAAAAAAACCGAGGATGCTATTTAAAAATCAAAACTTGTAGTCATTTCTGGTAAAACAGGAAGTTACCAAAAACAATTCAATACGTCAAACAATCCTAATTTATGTCATATACTAACAAACCAAATCTTGTTTTTTTATGAAAAAAATAAAAAAAAGTTATAGGGGTGAGCCACTTTTGAGACGCACCCAGTATAAGTATGTAATATCAAATTATTCATAAATAAATGACCTTTCCTCGTTCTATTTGAAAAAATTGAGTTATAAATAAAAATAGGATTTTTTCTTTCAACCAGCCAGAAAAGGCACGAGAAACATTACACAAGCAAATCTATTTTTCCAAAGCCCCATGATTACAAATTAGTGGTTTTAGCACCCTAGATTGAAATTTGAAATATTATTTTTTTAATTGAAAAAGTTGGCATTTGTTATGCCATTCTACTTAGAATACTTATTTTCTATCAAATAAATTAAAAAATACCCAAGGTACCATTTAAAAATCAGTAACTTTGGTCATTGTAACTTAAAATCTCGTTCTATTATTTGAAAAATAAAATAGTTATAGAGTTAAACCACCTTGAAAAACATTCGGTAAAAAGTACTGTATAAATTTTATTTTTAACATTTTTTCTAAAATTTTAATATAAAATATTTTGACTATTTATCACAACTTTCCTTGCTATGATTCACACTTCATAAATATTCCTTTAAAATTATTTGCAAATAACAAACTTAAAATTAGTAAAATAAATAAAACTGCTATATTAAACTGATGCTAATAAAACAAGCCCCCAAAATATTGTACCAATATTTTGAATATTACGCTTAAAATTACTAGTTCGATCGGCAATTTATGAAATGAAATACGTTTTCACAATCATCATAACGCTCTTGACTAAATTAAGTGGATGCAGTAAACGTTTCAGCTTTCATCAAAGCGCACTGGACTAGAAACCGAGACTGCTTCATTCGTCGGTACTTATCTGTTAAAAATGTTCTGAAATACCCAAATGCTAAAATGTTTTTCCGTTTAAAATTTTCAAATTTTACATAGCTATTTATTTATTTTTTTTAAATTAAATATTGACAAATGCAATAAAGTCATTAAAACAATGAGAAGATGAAGAGATAAAATATCATCTTTTACTGATATTGCTTTTAGTTTTGTTGACACAACGTTTTGGTCAGATGAGTTTGGTTTTATCAAATATAAATCCTAAATTTACTAAGCTTATACAGGGTGAGTAAAAGAATCAGATCTCGATAAAAGAAACATATTATTTTCTTTTTGCCTTTTTCAAATAACTCCAAAATAACCAAGTTATTTTACTTCAAAAATTATATATTATGCAGGGGGAGTTTTAAATAAGTGCAAATATTTTTAGAGGTAGCGTATTTCGAACAAATCCCAGAAACGCGCAAAAAAGAAGTTCGCAAAAAAAATTGTAAATTTGGAATTTTTGGATAACACAAAATTTCTTGATAATATGGCAACATAGGTAGTAGATTAAATTTACAAGAAAGAAAACCCAGGAAAGATCCAGTGGTTCTCAAATTTTAAGCAAAAAATCATTTTTGGGAAATTTTCAAAGTAAAATAACTCGGTTATTTTGGACTTATTTAAAAACCGGTAAAGAGAAAATATGTTTCTTCTATCGAGATCTACCAGCCCTAAAAAAATTGCACTTATTTAAGACTCACCCTGTATATATTCCCTTGCTTCAATTTTAAGAACCACTAGATTTTTTTCTGGCCTTTCTTTTATGTAAAATTAATTTACTACCTATGTTGCCATATTATCGAGATATTATGTTCTTTACCTAAAAATAATCCCATTGTTTTTTGGACACTAAATTTTAAAAAAAAAATCGCGGGAAAAAATTCTAGACGTGTTTTGCGGTCGAAATATACCACAAAATTATATGCACTTATTTAAGATCTACCCTGTTTATTACAGCGAAGCATTCACCAGTGATGGAAGTGTGTAAAGTCAAGCTAAGGTTGTCCACTAAGGACGCTAGCGTTTTATAAGCTGGCGTCCTTAAAAACAATATCACACTTTTTAAAGTCTTTATGTCAATTTTTACTTTAATATAATACAGAAATTATCTTCGATTGTTTCAAAGAATACTGAGACGCATTTTTTTATTTTGTAGGATTTCGTAATATTTATTCCTTCAATCAAATTCTCTTAAAGATGTGTTTTTTTTTTAATTTAACGCTTAATTGACATAAGTAAGCATCAAAACAGATAAAAGAAAACATATATTTTTAAACTGCTTTTTTTATTAATTTCTTGCTTGACGTTACCTTAATTACATACACCTGTTTTGTTTTATATTTTCGAGTTTTAAGCAGTTTTAATATATATTTCTTTCAAGAATCACTAGTTTCTTTAGAGTAAAAATTATATAAA